TGGACCCCGCGCCCGCCGTGCTGCACCCGGAGGAGGTCGCCGCGAGGCTGCAGCGGATGCGGCGGGAGCTGAGCAACCGCAGGAAGATCTTGGTGAAAAACCTGCCCCAGGACAGCAGCTGCCAGGTGTGGGGACGGTGCTGGGGAGGCGACGCGCCCTGGGGGCGACGAGACAGACTCTGGAGAAAAGCTGCCTCCGAGGTGTCGGGGCAGGAGGAGGAGGGGATCGGCGCAGAGTGCCTAGGACGGCCCCTAGCTTTTACAAAGCTCTTGGGGTTTCCAAGCCTGCAGACAGACCTCCAGGGAGGGGAGTAAGAGTAGGAAACTGAGGCTCGGAGCGGCGGCGTAGTGGCTCGTCCAAGGTCACCGGGATTGGTGGCGGCTGCCGCCAAGAGTATTCCGCTCTTTTCTTCTCCTGCAGCCCTTGAGGTAGTTGCAGATGAAGGAGAGTGGAGGTGAGCTTTGGAGCTCCCATTTGGGGGCCTGAGTCTTTGGGAACACCTCCAGAGGGGCAGAAGGTCCCGCGTGGGGACCTCAGGACTAGGTGTGCCTTGGGGGTGGGGGGCGGGATCACGGGAGAGCTGGGAGTGAGTTTTGCTGATGCAGAAGCACTTGACCAAGTTTGTATGAAACAACTTTGTCTCCTCAGTTTGCTAAGGCCCCAGAATAGGGAGGTTGTTAACTGCGCTTTGAGGAGCCTTGCAGCCGGGTTGTGCCAAACCAAGTAGGGAAAGATTTGTTCCTCAGTGATTTTGAATGAAGCTTTTAAAACTAAGCTACTCTGTGTCTTTAATCCAGAAACTCTAAACCTATTTAACTTTTTTTTTCTTTCCTGATTGTGAAAGTTACAAATTGTTTTAAGAGAGCTAAAAAATCAGAGGAGTATAAAGGGGGAAAAAATAGAAATATCCCATAGTTCAGCTATCTAAAGGTAACCATTTTTAACCTAGAATATCATTTCTTTTCTTATGCATATGTGTACATATGTATTTTGTTTTATCTGAAATTTGAGATAATTTCTTCAATTCTTTGGAGGTTCTTAATTCTCTGATATTCACATATTTCACACCACACACACACACACACACACACACACACATATATATATAACTTGAATTTATATGGATTGTGATGAGAGGTCCTGGCAGTTGCAAATTTGGGGGAGGTGGGGGTGGGGGTCTCATGTAGTTCCTCCTATAACCTGATGCATGGAATTG